TTTTTTTTTTTTTTTTTTTTTTTTTTTTTTTTTTTTTTTTTTTTTTTAGTTTTCTTTCTAACAGTCAGGCCCCTCTGCTGTAAGACTGCTGGAGGTCCACTCCAGACCCTGCTTGCCTGGGAATCATTGAAACTCTCAATGCAGAGAGTTTCAGATTGCTGGTGTTTGTGGTTGGGACCCACCGAGCCAGATCACCTGGCTTCCTGTTTGAGCCCCCTTTTTCTCAGATGATTGGGCAACTCTGTCTCCCAGGTGTTCCAGGTGCCAGTTGAAATTGCTGCCTAGATTTGTGTGAGCTTTTGTGTGGAGACCCTCTGCGCCAGCTGAAACAGCCATGCTGGAGACTTGTGGAGCTTTTCTGACAGGGAATCTCCTGGTCTGTGGGCAGTAAAAACTCATTTTGTAATGCGGTGATCACTAAAACCCTGCGTTCTTGCTGGGAACTGCACTCCAGAGCTGTTCCTATTTGGCCATCTTTTCTTTTTCTTCAAAATTAATTTTGAAATAATTATTGTACCAGGAATCCTCAACAGCTATGCTCCCATCTCAAAGTACCGTTATTATCACTCTGTTAGGTGACATGATAATAATCATTTCTAATCTGGTGTCTCACTATATAAACATGCACTGCTAATCACAATGTGCCTCTGATCTCCTTTCTTTAAAAAAAGCAGCTGGAGAAGGAGGATGGGGAGAAACAGGAGGAAAAGGAGTGAGGAGTGGGGAGGAGGAGAAGCGGGGAGGAATGAGGAGTGAAAGCTCTTAGTTCGGCCATATTACTCCATGGTGTGGCTTGTAAAAAATAACTTTCTTGCACACGGAGCATAATGGGAGTCTAGGAAGAAAATATGAATAATTTTCTAAGTTGATGATTTAAAGTAAGAGAAATAGGCCTTTCTGAGTTTCTGGCATATCCAACTTAATATTACAGTACTGGACCTCATTCTGAATACTTTGAATATTTATGATTCTTGATGTTTGGGCTTTTTAAAAGGTCACTTGAAAATGAAGTTACTTTCATTTTAAAGTAGAAGAAAGTGGATGTAGGAAAGTGAAGAGCTTTTAAGGAAAACCATGATGTCTGTTCTCCTGTAAAAGGTCTTCATTTCCAGTAGTAATTGTATTTCTTAATGGCTTTCCTAATATTAGATGATTACATCTTGGTGTATGAAAGTATTTTAGCTCAGGAATTGAGGCTCCTCCGACAAAATCACTATCATGTTTACCTGGAACTTTTGCTTCAGCCCAATTAACCATTGAAAGTAGAAACAAATTAGCAATATTTACTCAGAACACACACATACATGTTTTCCTTGTTTAATAAGTTACTTTTGCTTACAAATGATAGTCAGTGGTTAAAGCCATCTTAAGATCAAAAAGGGACATCATTATAAGGATATAGAGGCATGGCATAAATCACAGGGGAGGGCAGAAACTCAGCTTCATGAGAATGCCAGGCCTCAGAACCAGGACCCAGCAAGACTATTCTCTTTAGTATCTCTGTGTCTTCTAGCATAGGTGACCAAGTATTACAGAGAATAGGAGTCCTATAAGGTGGTCCGTAGTAAACAGACAGGATCTTTGATTGCTGTTAGTTTGGGGAATGCTCCATACCACATCTACCAGCTCTGAGAGTTTCACAGTGCACGATAGAATATTAAAGTCACTGAGAAGTTCCATGGAAAACCTCCTTAACCTTTAATCTACTGATTCCCAAACTCATTTGACCATTGCTTTAAGAAACATCATTTTAAAGAAAATAATAATATGGAGTTCTGTATTATTTTTTCAATGATATGGATGAGCACTCGTGAAGTGACTAGTTCAAGGTCACAGTACATTTTTTAGCCCGTTGGTCTAGTGCTCTTCCCATTGGTGCTTACATGCATAGATCTTGGCTGAGGAACTGTACTGTCATAGCTATTCATTTTGTGCCCATACCCCATCACCCTAGCATTTTAAAGGGGCTCCCCACTTTAAATTGAGTCATTGATTATTCCATTGGTTCTCTTGACAGGATGTCTGCTGTTTCACAGATAACCCAGCAGCTCTAGTTTAAAATGTGCCTTTATTTCCTGTGTATGACACATATAACTTGATCAGTTTCTGGGCATAGGAGCTTTGGTTTCAAATCTTATTAAGGTTTTTGTCATTCCAAAGGTGACATTGTAGAGGAGCTGAAACTGGCTAGCATGTTACCCTAATCCTTGAATCCAGGCAAAATAAATTTTGGTTGAGTTTGCTGTAACATTCACTGATTCATTTTCATTGCTTCATGCCTTGGATCCAGTGAAAAGGAGGAGATGTGTCAAGTGTTCTGAGAGGCTGTATATTCACTTGGTAATTAAACCAACTAGTGCAAATGTAGATCATTGAAAGCAGTAAAGTTTTCCAGGATAATCTTCTGGGAGAGTGAGAAAAGCCAAGCAGAAAAAGAATAATTGAATATCAGAAATGAAGAACTGAGGAAAAGTGTTAGGGGAATAAACACCAAGAGAATAAAGTATTGTAATTTCTGCCAACAAGAATATCATGCTCTTAAAGTGAAGGCTAGTTTTTCTTTTTCCTTTGGAATAGTTAGCAGGAGTAGCAGAAGCAGTAACAGCATGAACTCAGTGATAATGTGTCTCTGGTCCATGAAGCTGAGCCAGGTGTTGGATTAAATACCTTTGAGATAGAAACTCATTTCTAAAATCCAGACGTTTGCTGAATGAATGAATGAGCAAATTTTAATTTGTTAATATCTAGGGGTAAGACCTTTTGATACTCTGTTTTTCAAAGGAATTTAAAATGTAATAAGGGAGAGAACACAGGACATGAAGTTAGAGAAGTGAAATGGGAGAGGTAACACCGTGGAAGTTGAGATAAGAGAAAATTTCCATCAGGGCAACTGGAATACTTCAGGCAAAAGGAAAAGAGTGAACAGAGGTTTAAAATTTTTAAGGTGTATCAGTTAACTGTTTGATAAAACTCATGTATACCAAACTGTCCCCAGTACTTGGTGGCTTGAAGTAATAGTCATTTACTCTGATTCATGTGTCTGTGGACCAGCTTAGCTTGTTTTGACTACAGGGTGTGAATTAGGTCCATGTGTCTGTCATCCTCCAAGACCCAGCAGAAAACTAAGACATCTGCATCTCAGAGTGAAAGGCAGCATCACATTTTAAGCCCCTGATCCATTCACATGTCTTAACATGCCATTAGCCAAATCAAGTCTGATATCAAAGGAGTGTGACAATATACTACTCTCAGATATAAGAAGTAAAGGGAGATTGAATATTTACTGAACAATCTAATTTACTTCAGTGGGAAATATGGGGTTATTTTGTATATTTGGTGAACTTGTTAGAAAGTAGCAGGGTTTAGAGTATAAAATCAACCTGGAGGTTGCAGGACAGAGGCTCGAATTCCAGCTGAGAATAATATTACCAAGGGCAGAAGTGGAGTGAATTTTTCCAGTAAGTCACGGGCCACAGGTTGATCAAGGGAAATGGGCACTGAAAATACATGTCCAGAAACATTTACTTAGTAGGGTGATTTTGGTATCCCATGAGAAAATAAATTTAGTAAAAGATTAAAAGCAGGGGCCAGATTGTATGGGATGAAAAGGATGAGGGGTTAGAGAAGCGAGGTTATTAATACCAGCATCTCTTTTGAAGAGATAAAGGGCAGAAGAGAAATGGGGTTTTGAAATGATGGAGAACAAATGTGAGACAAACACAAGCATGTGCTATAGAGCCGATATTCATTAAAGAAAGATTCTGGGAACGTTTGTTGTCCCAAGATAATGAGTAATAGGTGGTACACACAGAGCTGTTACCCTTTTCTGTGTTTTAATATATTTTGTAAGATGATAAGGAAATCTTTCCCAATAGTTTTTTTAATATATAAACTTGTAAATGTGATGTATGATAGAGGTCAGGAAACTCTTGAATCTTGAGTCAATCACCTCTACTACTGCATATGCTCAAGGGACCTTATTTTTAAACATTATATAGGGGCACAATATTTACCTGTGCACTTTAACAAGCAACTTGCTAGCACAATCAGTCACTCGAATTGTTAATTAATGTTTAATTTTTTAATTACTCACACCTGCAGAAATTTCCCCCAATAGAAAAGAAGACCTAGTTTCAACCGTGATGATAGAAGTTAGGGTTTTCTTCCATGAATATGTAAGCAGTCATGACTTCTGTGTATTGCCTGGGATTTAGTAACACAGGACAGTTATCTGTTGTTGTTGATCATGAGCTTAGAATAGGACAAGTTGGTGTGGGGTACAAAGGAGGAAATTATTGAATCTCTCCCTTCATACCGTGAATGCTCTAGCAGGGAAAAGAAGGCATACATAGATGGAATAATAAGTAATTAAGAACGTATCATATCCTGATACCATTATGTGCTAGCTTCATGGGTGCGGTCAACAGAGAATAGTATAGAAGATGTGGAAGGGTATATGCTGCAAGGATTAAGAGTACAGGCTTGGGATCCACCTTGCCTGGGTTTAAATACTGGATTATCCTCTTACCGGCTCGGTGATGTTAGGCAAGTCCTTGATCTTTTTAGGTTTCAGTGTCTCCATCTATAGAATGTGGACAATAACAGTGACTACCTTGAAGACTTATTGGAAAGACTAAGTTAATATGTGGAATGTGTAAAACAGTGCCTGACACATAAGTAAGCATGCACAGATTCTTAGATGTTTTAATTTGTGTTGTTGGTGGTGATGTTTTGTTGTTGTTGACTTTGTTGGTTTCTTTATTTTGTTGTTGTTATGGTATGGGCCATGAGATTTAGGGAAGGTGATGACAGCCCTCGAACTAGACACCTTGCATGATGTCCTTAACATTAGCACCAAATCATCTAGAAGGAGTCCTTCCTAGCCATTCTAAATATAGTTGAATGTCTTCTCAAGTAACAAGTTAGAGGTAATGTATCAGAAGCCAATTTGATTTATTCCTCTTAGAGCACGAGTGTTTGTCTCTCTGCAAGCAACTGCCTGTTGTCATCAGCCTAAGGCTTGGTAACACTCTTGCTTTCTCCTGCTCTACCTTTGTCTGTCCTCCCTGCCTCATGGTCTTCAAGTCTTTATTACCTGTATTAGTCTGTTCTCACTCTTCTAATAAAGGAAAGAGGTTTAACAAACTCACAGTTCCACATGACTGAGGAGACCTCACAATCATGGTGGAAGGCAGAAGAGAAGCAAAGGCATGTCTTACATGGTGGCAGGCAAGAGGGCTTGTGTAGGGAAACTCCCCTTTATAAAACCATCAGATCTCGGCTGAGTGTGGTGGCCTCACACCTGTCATCCCAGCACATTAGGAGGCCAAGGCAGGCTGATCATGAGGTCAAGAGATGGAGACCATCCTGGTCAACATGGTGAAACCCTGTCTCTACAGAAAATACAAAAACTTAGCCAGGCCTGGTGGTACATGCCTGTAGTCCCAGCTACTCGGGAGGCTGAGGCAGGAGAATTGCTTGAAACCAGAAAACTGAAGTTACAGTGAGCCGGGATTGTGCCGCTGCACTCCAGCCTGGTGATAGAGCAAGACTCTGTCTCAAAACAACAACAACAACAAAAGGAAAATCAGATCTCATGAAACTTACTCACTGTCACAAGAACAGCATGGGAAAGACCTGCCGCCATGATTCAGTTACCTCCCACTGGGTCCACCTCATAACATGTGGGAATTACGGAAGCTACAATTCAAGATGAGATTTGGGTGGGGACATTTTATTATCACTGGAAAATCAGCTCCAGGGAGTCCCATGCTCAAGTCTGGGCAGAGAACTCTGTCCTCCTTTCGAGCATTTTGGCTAACTTTGCTGCAGGTTGTAGACAGATGTACATTCAACAAGTCTTACTCCAGAGATGATATGCAAGCTGCATTTAGAAGGGTGAACAGCATCAGGCATGCCAGGTGTGGAAAGAGACTCGTTCAGGTGAAGACAAGAAAACACACAGCCTCGGAAGTGGGGAAATGCCTGTTATAATATAGAAATGAGGAGGCCAGTAGAGATGCGGTTGCACTGCCCAATAGAAATATGAGGCAAACTGCTTGTGTAATTTTAGTTTTTCTGGTAGTCACCATAAAAAGTAAAGGAAATTAAAAACACATTTTTAAAACTCGATATATCCAAAATAGTACCATTTCAACATATAAGCTGTGTAAAAAATTATGAATGGGATTCTTTCACATTGTTTCCCTTGTAGTAAGTCTTGGAAATCTGGTTTTTATTTTACACTTCTGGTGCATCTCAGTTCGGACTGACCACAATTCAGGTGCTCAGGAGCCACATGTGGCTGGTGGCTCTACTCTATCGACAGAGCAGATACTAGAGCATGGTGAGCAAGGAAGACAGTGATAGATGAGGGTGGAAAGGCAGAGGCAAGACCCGATGCGAAGGGGCTTTGCTGACCAAGATAAAGTTTATGTGTTGTTTAACAGAGATTTCTCTTCTAAAAAGAATGAGAAATAGTTTGTAAACCATAAACTAATCTTCATGTCGTCAGGTGGATGGACCTGTAGAAGTTGCTCTCTGTTACCTCCCTAGGGGACAGCTAATTTTAGCTGAATTCTTTAAAATTAAGACAAATGCCATCCAACTATTTTGAAGAAAAATTTTAAGGAATTTACCTAAAAGGCTTACAGAATAAAATTAGGGGGGAAAGCCCGTGCAACCTCATTGTCATATCCTTCTATCTCATGGACTCTATCCTTATATTGAACAGAGGCACCCTGACTCGCAGACTGCAGTGGGCTTACTCTGTTTGCCTCTGACGTCTAAACATACCTGAGCAGTTGGAACCCACTGCTGGCATCCCAGAAGCACCTAAAGAACATGGCAAAAACTCCCAAATCCTTGTTTGTCTTCCCTAATCCACCCATCAGGGGACACAGAGACATGTATGGTTTGGGTTCCCATAGTTGCATCAGGTATCAGGTAACTAAGAAGTCTTATTAATGAAAGCTGTATAATCATTATGATGCCTGATTGGTTCATTTCGTCATTCACCAGAAGTCTGGCATGCTGAGGAGCTCAGTAAATATTTGTGGAAAGAACAAGTAGATAAAGGATCAGCTCCTGGCCAGGCACAGTGGTTCACACATGTAATCCCAGCATTTTGGGAGGCCAAGATGGGCAGATCATGAGGTCAGGAGTTCAAGACCAGCCTAGCCAACATGGCGAAACCCCATCTCTACTAAAAATACAAAAATTAGCTGTGCGTGATGGCACATGCCTGTAATCTCAGCTGCTTGAGAGGCTGAGGCAGGAGAATTGCTTGAACCAGGACCCGGGAGGCAGAGGTGGCAGTAAGCTGAGACTGCGCCACTGCACTCCAGCCTGGGCCACCGAGTGAGACTCTGTCTCAAAAAAGTAAAAAAGGAGCAGCTTATTATGAGGCACCAACAATAAATCAGGCACTGTCAGAAGCTGTGGCTACAATAATGGTATGTAGAGACAGTCATAGTCCACACTTCCATCACCATTATCTTGGGATTAGCTGCTTCAGAACACCTGGAGAGCTTTTGTAAATGTAACTGTCAGATCCTCACCTACCTGGTGAGCCACTCCTTGAAGGTGAAGTCAGACCCAGGGCACTCCAGTTATCCTGAGCCCTGTGCCTTGGATGTGGCCACCAAGTTGCTCATTGCAAAGCAGCATGGTCAACACCTTGTGAGGGAATGGAGGTAACAAGGAGCAATAAAAGCATGTGGGGCAATCCATACACCAGCCTGGAATGCCACCTGGAAGAGGTGACAGTTGCAAACTAAAGGACAGGGAAAACTTGAGCAAGTAAAGAGCGAGGAGAAAAGTGTGCTGGACAGAAGAAAGTTTTTACGTGGTAAATGCATATTATTTCGCTCCTGCATCTTAGTCACCCATCTCGTAGGACGCCATAGATGTTTGAAAGTGCTCGGAAAGGTATAAACCCCTCTAAGGGTGGAAAGTATGACTATTTTGTGAATTCTGTTTGAGGGAAATTCAGTTGATTGATGTCTGTGAAGGATGAATATTTGACAGGCAGGGAATGTGCTATATGGCACAGAACATCTTTCCAAGAAGAAATTGTACTGTAGTCACAGCAGACCTCTCACTCAGCCACAGTGCCCAAAATGTCATAGTTAATTGAATTATTTACTATGAAAATGATAGTTAACTGAAGATCTCTCTAAAATATATGAGTCTCTTTTACTGCACTGGACGAAAGCACTATACAAGCAGAGGCCTTACCTGTCTCTTTGCTAGACCTGAAGTGCCTAGAGCAGTGTTTTATGTAATGCGTGTGCTCAATGAATATATGTTGTCAGCACACGTAACTGACAGAGGTTACATTAGAAATTTTAACTTTAAACCGCTTGTTTTGTCGTGAATTCTAACAGGTTGGGATTAAACTATACATAACCTGTAATTTGCTGTCATTTTGAACTATTTGGATTTTTTTACAATGCAGTTAGTACACAAATACTTTATTTAGAAACAGTAGTTCCAGTTCCAACATACACAATATAAAATTTCTCTACTTCCTGGCCCGTCTCCATAGGTTACTACTGTCAGAAGACTGTTGTGTATCTTTCCAGGCACTGTTCCATGCCTTAACATCCCTTTACATACATTATCTAGATTTGATTGTGAACAGATCATATTATATTGTTCTGTGATTCCCTTTTTATCTTTAAGAGTATGTTTTGGAGCTGTATCTCTAGGAGAGCAATTACAAGTTTACTTACTCTTTTTAATAACTTAATAGCATTTCATGTATGGAAGTACCATGATTTGTTTAACCACTTCTATATTTTAGTAATATAGAAATAATATTACAGTAAACATCCTTGTACATATATTTTATGCATATTAATGTGCTCATTTAGCATAGATTCTTAGGAGTATCTAATTTTTTTAAAACAAGAATAGCATTTCTATTCAATCATTACCTTGTTTTTTCTTTGCCTCTTTTAGCTAAAAATCAGGTACAGAAAAAAATTAAGTTTCATTGAGCATTTTTAGTTGGCAGCTTCTTATTTGAAAGTATGTGGAATGTAAATGTGTATGAAATCAAGTATTTCATCTAGCAAAATGAACAGATTTCACCCGTGATTTTGGATATGTAGTAGTTTGTGGCCTTCGGGAGCACCATGAGCCTAGGATACCCTATGGGCGGGGTTTCTACCAATTCCCTGCCATTTGTATCACGATCCTAGTAATGGAACACCCTTAACTTAAACAGTACACAACCCACACAGCCATATGGAGCCAACATGATGTCTGGAGTTTTGCACTGTTGCTATTTTTACTCTTTTCTTGTTCTTACGATCTCCAGCTTAACCCTGGGAACTTAAGATGCAGAGTCAAGACCACTTACACTGTGTCGTTGAGAATAATTATAGTTGAATGCCCTTTGGGAAAGCAAACAACATTTTCAGCTTGGAAAGAAACATTGGGACCTGCCAAAAAATGCTTTTTTGTTTGTTTTGTTTTTATGAGGCAGAGTTTCGCTCTGTTGCCCAGGCTGGAGTGCAGTGACGCAATCTCAGCTCACTGCAACCTATGCCTCCCGGGTTCAAGCATTTCTTCTGCCTCAGCCTCCAGAGTGGCAGGGGTGATAGGTGTGTGCCATCATGCCTGGCTAATTTTTGTATTTTTAGTACAGACAGGATTTCACCATGTTGGCCAGGCTGGTCTCGAACTCCTGGCCTCATGTGATCCACCCGCCTTGGCCTCCCAGAGTGCTGGAATTACAGGCGTGAGTCACCACACCGGGCCCTTAAATACTTTGTTGAATGAAGAAATTTGTTGAATCGATGAGAGTGAAACCTTGAAACTAAACCTCACACCATTTTAGTTATTGCCCTTCAAATTGTTAGTTTGAACCCACTGCCACTGTTAGATAGGGGCCAGAATGTGCTGGTTTAATTGGGACATTCATCTAGATAACAAGCTCTCACTGGGTATTTAATGATGGAACGGAGCTGTCTGCTGGAAATTCCCAGTATACCACAACACTTGAGCCTTCATGTCGACTAAAGAGAAAAAGTGAGGAGTTGCTGTACAAGTGACTTTCGCATGATACAAGGTCTTCCCAGATCAATATCCACCAAACAACAAAGGCAATTGATAAGTTAAGCTGTGATGAGCCAGATAGTACCTGTGGGTTCTCTTGACAAATGTGACTAGCAAGCCCTTAACACCGTGCATCATGTAAGGAGGAAATCAAAGATGAAATAGAGGGTTCTTTACTTTTCCCAGTTAAATGAGAGATTGTAGTTTTCACTGCCCATCTGTTTTAGTCAGAGTATCTTTCTGTAGGGGAAAAGATGTATATTCATTCATAGTCTGTTTTCCCACTGTCTATGTGTATTATTCATTCATTCATTCAATACGTATTTATGAAGAGACTGTTATGTGGCTGGCATAGTACTAGGTCTTCAGATATACTTACATATCTATTTAGCAAATGTATTCATAAGTGCCATTGTTTTAAATATTTTCCTTAATGTAATTGTATTTGCCATCTCCACTGTAGTACTGAATTCCCTGAGCAGAGGAATAGACTCATGTTCATGCACAGGCTTATTTTGGAGTTGGGAGCTTTCAGCCCCTGGGCATATTCTTTTCTTATGTATTTTGGGGAGAGGTGCATCTATTTTATAGCACTTCTTGAGAATTTTTGATTTGCCTACCTCTGTAGGAACTGAGTGACTAGTGAAATATTACGAAGCACAGTGTCTGTATTCACAGGCTTAAAAATTTTGTCAAGGATTAAAATCAATCTACAACAATCAGTCAACAAATAGTACAAGGCGGCCCATGATCACACGACCAGAAGTTATGTTGGCATTTTGAGAGAGAGGGAGGTCATTAGGGCCAGAACAGTTTCACTGTCCATTTTGTTATCCACATATATCTAAACACATGCTGTGGACATGAGAATATAATGCATGCATGGAGATACTGACAAAGTGCTCTAGTTAGCAGAACATTAATAAGTAAAAATCAACTCAATTTCAATAAAAGCTAATTTCACTAAAAATCACTGGACCAGCCTGGGAATGGGAAGCTCTTAGATATCACTGAGAAATTCATTCTGAATATCATGATAAAAATGAGAACAAGGTGAGAAATGAACTTCAAACTAAGCCTGAATTTGACTTACATTTTAACTTTTTTAAATAAAAAAGTTCTCACACCCTGGGGATTTCCCTCAAACAGATGGTTAGTTTCCTGTACTATTAATCCCCACCATCTCAGCCTAGACTATGTCAGTGTCCATGGAAAAAGGACTTGTATCATTTTCTAGGAATGAGTTCAGCTGCATGTAACAGAAACCCTGCCTTTAACAGTTGCTTAAACAAATAGAGATGTATTTTCTTACGTAACAACAAGTCCTCTGAGGTAGGCAGTGTCTTAGTGATTCTTTTAATCTGCCCATTGGCAAGATGGTAACCCTATTTCCTGGCACCATGATCAAATTCATGGTAGGAAGAAAGGGAGAGAGGTGACACCAGCAATGTTGCTATTGAAAAACCATACGCTTCTGCAGGCTACTCCCTCAGCAGTTTTTTGTTGGCTTTATGAGGGTCTGGAAGAATGAGTAGTTGCCCATGGTGTAGAATCAGGCAGGAGAAAAAGGTGTTAGGAATGAGCAATGGGCTAACTGACCAAAGTTTCCTGCTACAGGACGCTCTGTAGATGTGTAGTTCAGTGCAAAATAAAAGACCGACCGACATGAGAGGCATCTTGTCTCTGACCGATTAGGTCTCATTTGCTTGCTGTGTAAAACAACGGGCTTGCCTAGGGGTAGTCTATATTTTCAGAGCTTTTCATGTTATAACATTCCAGAACTTCTCAGATACTTTTATAATGATTAAGAACTTTATGATATCAAAAAACACAGCATAATTACAGAGATGTTACTGTGTCCCAAGTACTTCATGTGCATGATCTTATTCAACCCTCACCATGCCTCTGTGAGGCAGGCACTTTTATGCCATCCATTTTGCAGACAGAAGTGGCAGGTTAAGCCTCTCAGTGACATGGGTAAGGTGACATAGTGAGATTGTGGCCAGGTCAGGATTCATCCCAGGGGTGTGGCTGACACCAGAGACCTTTTTTAAAGCACTAAGCCTTCTAGCTCATACACTCTAATGTATTCTGCTTCTTCAGCCTGGCTGTATGTTTACTACACATCTCATGGTTCTCATTTATCTAAACTTGCCAGTTTTTGTTTGGAAGGTCTTCTCTTTTTGTGAGCTTATTGCTCTTTCTCCAGTTTATGTCCTAAAGAACAGTCTCAGGGCAAGATATGAGACTTGAATCAGGCATGAATACAGTAAGTCACAGCACCATCGAGGCCAGCTGTGTTTATGTTTGAATGCCACCTCCCACTTGCTAGATGTAGATGTGTGACTTTCAACAGGGTGTCCTATCTTTAAGTGTCAATTTCTTCATATGCAATGGGAAGATTATGCTATTAACCAATGGCTTTTTAGATGAGAAGTAAATGAGATAATGCTTGAGAAGTGCCTAACACAGCATTTGTGAATGTATTAGAGTTGATAACTGTGAAAATGGTTAAGGTGAAAAGGATGTAAATGAAAATACAAACAAAACTGGATTATTTGGCAGATCCTAAATACTCTTTGGCTAGTATAGTCTCACATTTGTCTCCTTCATTCTCAGTGTGCTTGTGTGTGTGTGCTGGGTGTGTGTGCACATGGAAACTTTGCTTTGCCTTATGTCTACTTTGTGAACTGCAGTCAGCTGTAGCTACTGCAGCTCTAGAGGCTTAGAGCTGCCTCTTGGTAGGTTCTGTCTGTCCTTGTCCCTCATCATTCAGGGCATGGATGATACAGTGACTGTTTACTCTGTGGTCAAAAGTCTAGAGGTACTGTCTGTAGCATGGAAAGAGTCTTCCCTGTATATTTTCAAATACAAGGTAGAGACTGCAGTGGAGGTCCAGGTATGGGGGTGGTTTGACATGGGGCGAGGTACATCAGTTATACTGTGTTCTTTCATCCCAGCTAAAAATTTCAAAAATACTGCCCATTTCAGAGTTCAGTGAAGTAAATTCTGAGAATACAAACATCAAATAAGAGTTATAAACAACATAGTTTTATGATTGCCAGGTAATTGTTTTACTTTTATGTTCCATTAATATTATTTATTTGAATCAAATTAGCCTGTACATATAACTTCAGGCAGGAAGGAAAGGTGTAAGAGAAAAATGAAAAGTTTCCTTTCCTTCTCTTCTCTCAACAACTAGATAGAAGGAAAATCTCTTCTTCCCTTTCTTCTAATTTAATTTGCTTTTCTTTCAATGGCCTTCTAAAAAAATTGACTGACATGTCTGTCAGGTAGACTTTATTTGGCAATCCCTCTGGGCTTCTGCTTTTCTTAGGGGAGGGAAAGCAGATGAACTGTGGTGAACATGGATAAGTCAGTGTTCCGGCTTCCTCAACCAATATGAATTTGGCTGGAGAATTTTTTCTAATTAAAGAAATCTCCATATGGTATGGTGATATATCTGGGGCATATAACTTTCTTAAAACACAAGACAATTTTTATTTTGCTTATATTCAGTATCATTTAGTAACTGTCAAAAAATTTACCATATTGCCAGCAAGTTGATCTCCTAGACCAGATGTCAGTTGGGACCTCGTTACTCTGTGGAGATAGAACTATAATGTACTCAAACCCCCAGTTCCACAGGTCATCAGAAGTTAAAGTTCTCTCCACCTTCTCTGGAATTTTGTCTTCCTCTGGTTCCTCTGTCCAAGTGTTTTGCCCTACTTAACAAGATGTGCAATTTGTTCGCATGTATGGGTAAAGTCTTCTCTCCAGGCATTATTTTAATTTAGTTGTGAACTGGGAGCTATTAGAGGTCTCGTTGCGGAACATTTCTTGCTCCTCAGTGTGCCCTTCTCCTCCATCCCTTTTCACTTCCTCATTCCTGATGGAAAAGGTTTGCCTTCTCCTACAAGGCCTTTATGGCTATTAACATCTATTCCCTCCAATCTTTAACTCTGAGATAGTTTAATAGGGATGACTCTCCAGCAAATTCCATGTTTTCCTGAAGAATTTTTTAAAGCCAAAAACAAAATCCCTCCATATCCATTATAATTTCATCTAAAAAAATCATGTTAGGTCATCTCCCTTACAAAGAACTGTAGTGAATATGGGTAAGTCAATGTTCCGGCTTTTCTCAAATTGCTTTTTGGTTTGCTTTCGTTTCTGTTGTAATTGGCTGGTATTTGATTATAAGGATTAGTAGAGGAATGCCTTCTTAGGATACATCCAGCACTTCAGTATAAGAAAGATTGTGATCTTTGGGTAGGGAGACCGGGAATTAAAACCAGGCCCTATCATTTACTCACTGTGTAACGCAAGTAACTTAACTTTTGAACTTTTGTTTTCTTCGGTAGAGGAGATGATTCTTAATGAATTGTTTCAAATGTTGGAAATGAAAATAGGAAGCATCCAGCACAGTACTTGGAATGTAGGAGGTCCTTAGAAGATAAGAGTGTTGTGGCAGTGATTCTATACCACCCTCACTGTCATTATCATTGAATTCTCGGTTGTGTGTTTTGCTCACTCCACAGCACGGAATACATTTCCACTCTCAGTCACTGTTTCTGCACGTCCTCTTCTCAACTCCATCGTAAACTACCTCAGAAGAAGGCCATGTCTAATTTTTTACTTGGTTGCTGAGCACACATTAAGTACTCAGTCAATGCTTGTTGATTGGTATTTTATTGATTGGTGATCTCTTGGAAGTCTGAAAATTCATCTCCTTTCTACCTTTCTGATAATGACCTAACGAAACTGAAATTCATTATGTTAGAAAAGATTTCATTTCTTCCCCGGCTGCCTTCTTTTGAGTCAGGTCTCTGTACTCGGACATAAGACGTATCTTCATTTTTTTCCCATTTCTTGCTCTTTTCCATGTTGTTTTGCCTGTTCCTTTTTCTCTTCCTTTCTCTCCTACACGTGAATTCTCTCCTGTTCTTCTGGCTGAAATTCATCTCTCATGTCACAAATGCCCTTCCTTCTGTATGATTCCCTTGTCTGATTTCCCTTCAGATGATCTATTCACCTTATTTGAAAGAAAACATCATTTGTTTCCTAGCATCTGATCTGAATAACAGTGAAATGTTTATTTAAAATTAATGTTTTGAGCAAAGAACCCTCTCTGTTTACTTGACTGGCAATATTTTAATGTTTAACATGCTATGATGTAAAACTGGTGGAAGAGAAATACCCTGCTGTGGTCTGGTTGCCTAACAATTTACATTCAGCTGCAATATTTTATTTGCTATAATTACTCCCTGACAAAACAGGGAGTCGAAATGCAAAAATACAAAATGCTCTCAGTTTGCATATTATTTTGGAATGTGAAAAACCCTTGGTTCTTGAGGGAAAGAGCATAAGAAAGGAAAGCTAGCTTAGACAGATACCCATCTCTATAAACCGACTCTTCAGCAGTAAGACTCAAATCAGAGAGGAAACCGTAGGGCTTCCGGAGGGAGTTTTTTAAAGAGCCGGTAGGATGTGGATGCAAGGTTGGAGGGCAGGGCCTGGGGCTGTCACATTCCATCTCTTACTCCAGAGTCTCACTGTGATTTTACATAGGGCCTTTCACTGTGTAGCACCTATGGATCTTCTCTGAAACTATTGAAGTTTCTTAGATGAAAGGTAGGAATCCAATGGGCTCTCGTTAGAAAACGTCCTACTCTGACCCTCTTTACCCAGACTATTATTTGCACTCTTGAAAGTGACAGGTTTCAATGGGATATGGGTCTGAATGGAACATGACAGCCAATACCTAGGCATTGTGTGGACCAGCCAATAGCTCCCCGCTTGATTTCCACCACTATAAAAAAAAAAAAAAAAAAAAAAAAAAAGCCCTTCCCGGATTCAGAGTTAGAAACCCTCATATATCTAGTTTGTAGCTCCTGCATGCCTTTACCCCACCCTCATTTGCAGTTTGAAAAATGAAAAGCCTTTTTGTTCCTGAGATGCTGAATAGGAGTGCCACAGTGCATTTTTCCAAAAAGTAATTAATAAGATAAATCAAAACAAGATTCTTTCCTGTGTGATTAAATCTAACCGGTATGCTCCAGTAAAAAACCAAAACCATGCCATTGATTTTGGAATCAGACTGGGGGAAAAAAGCCATGATACATTTTTAAAATCTGAAAATGGCTAAGACAACCATGTATTGAGTTGTTATAACTGCACATCTCGTTTTCCTCCTGCTAAGCTTCTTTCTTCCCAAATGAGCCACAGTTTTCATGTAACTTATTCAAAGTAGGTAGTGTACTTGTAGGAGAAACTGTGAAACCATTTCCCAGGAACAGTTAATATGCATTTTAATATTTCTAACACATAAAGTAGTTAATGCAAAGGATTAATCATTACATAAACCACGTGATGGGAGGATTTGGGCAAAGTTCTTAGAAATAAAGAACTTTGTTATGTGATGCATATTTAAAAAGATAGTTTTCTCCAAGAAATCAATAACACAGGATTTAGTGATCCTTAGTTAGTCCCCCAGTATTGATTCTACGGTCTAAATTCATTATAATTTGATTTTTAGATAGCTAGAAAGTTGATTTTTGAGTCAAAGAATTGCTTTATTTACAGAGAAAGGTTTTTCGTGTGTAACATGAGGATGGAATTCAGCAAACATTTGGGGGTTTTCTTAACACTAATTATACCTTCCATTATATTCTTTATTTTTGTTTATGGCTTAAGAAGCTATAGAGGTTCCCCAGGATTAATAACATCACTTTCCTATTGCTGTATTTCTGCCAATAAGAAGAAATTGGATGACTACCATTTTTTTTCCCATGTATCTGGGCATGTTGTTCATCAAAGCAAAAGGGGTAGAAAAAGCCCAAAACACAAAAGAAAAAAACTCATGGAGCACAGTTAATGCTTATGAGTTGAAATTGCCCTCTATGTATGACACACAATATGACCACCCCATG